GAGACTCAGCTTTCACTGGCTGACCAACGACAAAGAATTCGGCAAAAACATCTTCCAACTCTCCCTCCAAAACCCAACTCCTCACCATCTCAAATAGTGGAGAACACACCCGCCGGAGTAAGCGCCCCATAAACTCGTGCACCAATGGATCACCATGCTGGGCATGCAAATGAATAGCTCCAGCCATTGCCCCACCCCTTAAAACCCTACATTTATCAACCAAAACGGCCATCAACCTCATTTTCACCATTGGCTCTGCAAACCATACAGACAACCTCCTCAGCGAAAGATAATTCCCTGAGCTTGCTGTCTCTGAAACCAAAGGAATTGGATTCATCGACTGTGCTTCAAGCACTGCCAACAACTTATAGTAATCAGAGAGCTCATCTTGTAATGCAGCACAAAAGGCCTGACCAACAGTTCCAACATCTTCAGATGGAAACCCATCCATACTCTCTGAAATATACCCTTTAACCTTCCTAAACAACCACCCCAATTCACAAAGCTTTCGAACCATCAGGCGGATTGCTCTCGGAACCTTAATCAAATCCGATAAAACATAGCCATCAGCACCAGAATCAAATTTCACATACTTGCCATCAATGCCTTGACAAGCATACAACACATCTCTCACCAAAACCTCTTCAGAAACTTCATTTTCTTCCTTAATCAAGTTCACAAACTCCCTAAATGCAATTTCCCGAAGATTTTCTGGGTCTTTCGAAACTAACAAAACCCCATTGTTCCAACCCTTTTCCTTATTTCCCTTACCCAACAAAACCCTCGACTCGTTGCCCAATTCACCGTCGTTTAACGCCAAATTGGGCAACAAAATCGAAGAATCTAACTGGGTTTTCACATTTTTTCGATCCTCAGATATAATTTTGAGCAAATAAAGGACTGCCCATTTGTTATTTACACTTCCTGGTCCGGTTTTTTATGCGAATTTTGTATAAAGGTCGGCGAAAGTGAGCGCTTGCGAGGACTTGCCTTAAGTGGCGAGGCGGCGCTTGGTGGATTTGGC